GCTGCGTGCGTGGTTCCTAAGTGTGTCAGTAGGATAACCGACGACGTTTACGTTTAACTGACGCTTCTGCTGGATCATCTGCGGGCTACGGCGTTCGTTTCCGTGCGAACAATTAACGTACGGTGCGCGACTATAAGCTGGTTGATGTTTGCGCAAAGATCGCCTGCGATATCGACGTTTGCCGAGATAAATTATAGTTGTTTTTACAACTGATTAGTGCCCGAGTCCCGAGAGAAGGATTTGAGCCCAGCCAAAGCAACATGTAAACATTGTATTCGTACATGGCTATAATAATATATTTTTGAATATGACCGAAACCGACTGCCCGCGATCGCGCTAGAATCGAAAGCGCAGATACAAGTTAATAAGAAAACTTATCAGGACCAAAGTCGATTGATACAAGACAATAATTATCGAATTATCTCTAAGAGTTTTTCCAAAAGATCGTTATTACAATCGCGATCAGTAATTATTCGACAGCCGAGAACCAGAAGACAATTTCCAACTGAAGCAACTGCTCGTTGTTTAGAATACAATAAGAGATAAGCTTTGGGATCGTTAACGTGAAAAGTTCGACTTGCATATGTCGATCGCCGATCTACCGTCCCCTGACTCTTTCTTCCTGCTTCTTTTTTATCTTTATCCGCGACGACAGTGACGTACGCGGCATAAACCGTACCCCGAGTTCGCCGTTTCGCGATGGAGGAAGATGAGAGTCTGGTGCAGGCGAACGACAGTGTCTCGATCCCATCGAAAAAGGAAAGCGGTTATTTCGAGGAAAATTGCGGTGACCTGAGCGACGTCATCTTCAGTAATTACAATCACTATGGGGCGCTCCTAAGCGTCGATACCGCCGGTATTTTGATCATTAACGAGACCAGACGATCGGATCACTGGGAGGAGAGCAGGCAAGGATCTTCCTTTTCTTCTGGTCTTGTTGAGGACATAAACGACCTTGACGTTAACGACTCTGACGAGGCTAAAGACGACATCATCATCAAACATCCTGAAGAAACTAAACGTAATGAAACGGAAATACCCGAGGTAGTTTATAGTCCTGAAGGCTCCAAGGAATTTGTTTATATCCACGATAACGTGGACTCCTCGGCAGTTCTTTGTATTCCCGAAAATTACGAGAAAAACATAGACTCCGAGGTACCGGTCTGCATTCACAAAAACTCAAAAGCAGTCGTTTACATTCACAAGAGCCCTGAAGTAATCGATTGTACCAAGGAGGAGGATCCGACAAATGTTGAGTGTGCTACCAGTCCCTCCACCATCGTTGAAGATTGGAATGATGCTGAAATATCTGTTTGTAACACAGGTAAAACCATCTCTGTCGATGATGTTACATCATCGTCGTATAGATCTTTTTATTCTCGCACAAGAAATCATGTCTTCATTATTCGTACTTTGCTCGTCCGGTGATTAGTTGTTCGGTTTCTCAGGCTTGCTTATCATCATCCCTCGATAGTTTGAAAACAATCGTCTTTCGTATCAAGTATCGTGTTTTGCATACTCATCGTTAAACTGAAAAACAGATACGATAAATTGAAACGTAAAAGAAAAGCAATGTGTAGCATTTTTAAAACGCGGAATTTATGCCGACCAGCGAATGTTTACTGTGCATGATATTTAGCAATGGCTTCAACAGGTCGTAAATACATACAGTGAGAACAAAAAGTATTCGTACAAGGAAATTTTTTATAAAAAAGTCTTATTTGTAGAAAATCAACATTAATTAGTAATTTTATACAATAAATACATTCTGTTCTAACATAAACAAACGAGCTTCGCATGTATTCCTGATTTTAGAAGCTAAATTTCTCGTCTGTACGAATACTTTTTGAGCATTCAAACAATACAATTTTTAATTTTCGCTTATTTTTTAGATGATATATTTTGTATAATTAATACATATCTTTTTGGTATATATAATTTTAAGAAACATACAGTCTATTTAACTCTTAATGAATAAATTGTTAATTATCCAACAAGAAATGATCGTCAATTAAACATCGAATCAACGTCAAATTGATGTTGAAATCATCGTATTTATATTGATTCGACATCAATTCGGTGACTCATTTCTCGCTGAATAATAATTACTTTTTAAAAATAAAGTTTTTTTAAAAAAGATTTTCTCTGTACGAATACTTTTTGCGCTCACTGTATGTATAAAGTACAGGCTTCTTAAAACCCATTAGGTATCGATCTGATTGTTTAATATTTCTTTATTCATTATTGGATTGCGTCATTCGCAATGCTCGTAATCGTAAAAATTCATAATTTGTAATGATATGTATTGTATTAATTTATCCCAGACACGATTTAGTTCCTTCAAAAGAAATAAATATATTTTCTTTACTTATTCTTTTGACACTAAAATGATGAAAATAACGAAATCTAAAAAACCTAAAAACACTTTAAAGAACGCATTACATATTTTATAGGTACTCTATTCTAATATTTTATTTTAAGAATTCTGAGAATTTGATTATACCTTTTAAATTATTCTTTTTAAATTGTATAGAATTGAAATGAGATAATTCTTAATACATTAACGTATTAATACATTAACGTGTAAAATGTTTTTTAATAAATTTAAACTGGTAAATTTAAGTCTGGACCTAATGATGTATATTCTTTAAATTTCTAGGAGTGAAATCTGATTCCAAAACAGTGAAAACTGCCACTAATGAAAAAAAGTTTATATATTTTTATTTTTTTTCAATAGTGGCAATATTTTCACTCTTTTGGAGTGAGATTTCACTTCAAGAAATTTAGAGAGTCATTATAATGATATATAATAAATGAAAAATCATTAAATGGATTTTCGTAACTTAAAAATTCAGACAGCTTAAACTTTTAAGACCACTAAAAGTTTAGACAATCCCTATGTGTCATTATATATATATATATATATATAAATATTCGAGAGTTTTGAGTCAGTACATAAAAAGAAAAAAAATCTGGCAGTTTTTTCATTAAATTATAAATTTTCAACTTACAAATTTTTACGTTGTATTGTGAAAATCTATTTTTCTATCGCAGATAGTTCATCTGATACGATTAACTTCATAAAAGGATAGAGAAAACAAATTTTCATGACAAATAGTCAAGAAAAATAAAAGAAAGATAAAAACAAAAAAAAAGAGTAAAAAAAATGTAAAAACAAGAATATTCTTTTAACAATATTCTTCCAGTTTTCAAGATAGTCTTTATATTTTGAGCAAAGAGAACTAAAATTTCTCTAAAATTCTCATAAATCCATACGTATGGCCTAGCATATGGCCTTCATAATATATTAGCTTCAATTTTATTAATGATAGGTGTGTATGTATATATGTATATATTTTCAGATGAAATATTCCCAATCCTTATTTTAAGATTTCACATCTATGTTTTTAAGATTTCACATCTATGTTGAGATTTTTCTAATGTTCGCTGCATTTTAAGATCAATACCTAGGCTATCTTTTACTTAGATTCGTTGACGATTCGGTGACTAATTTTTATTTAGCTCGTATGATTTTCTTCGTATGTAAGCACATAATGGTGAACTCTCGATGCGAATAATTCGGACTTCGACCTTACGCTCCGTTGTCGAATGATATTGTTCTTCATGCGTAAAGACTTCATAGACACTCACGTTTGTGCTAAAGAGAGAGAAAGAGAACTGTTACTTGTGCTTTCCATTATTTCCGCTTACAAGTGTTTTGCGTATTTGTCTCTGGAGTACACTGAGAAAGTCTAAATCGCGCGTCTTGCGAATCGTTTTTCGTGCCACACGTACTTCTATATTAAAAAAGAACGAATTATTTATTCCCTAATATACTCGCTGTAGTTCCGCATAAGTTTCGTATACGCATTTTTAGCGAAAGGGTGAAGAGTTAATATCACGACAGGAAGGGGGGAGATCTTAATCACTTTCTCCTGGTATATACAACGAGACATGACACGGCTGAAACGCGCAGGTTTTGTGCGCTTTCGAAACCGGCCGTGTTATTCTCAATCGAGGGAAGCTTGTTTTAAGTTTCCGGGAACTGACACGATGTTTTAATTTTATAAAAGGTCGAGTCATGAGCTTTACGAGAATTATTTTCAACGTCAGTAATTTTATATGTAATTTAATGTTCGTTCGACATTTAGCATGTTCGAGAAATTGCGAAGGGTCTCGATAATCCGCCAGAAATGTCCTGTTTCGTATTCTCTGTTCGCGTATTATCTACTTTTATATATGTGTGCGTGTGTATGTGCAATGTGTGTGTGTGTATAACGAAAGAGTTGCATGCCGAAGCTCCAGCAATCCGCGTTTCTTTGAGCGCAAACAAGTTAATCGACATGCGGAAAGGTGGTAGCTTATTCTCTCGTCGTTCGCTCACTGAACAACCGTACCGCATTTGCAAGTGTTATGGGAGATCTAAAAATAAACCACTATTATCAATGAGAAGCCGTATCGAAAGCCAGCACGAAAATATCCAATTACAAATGGTACGGCGTACGGACGTATTCACAGAATAGCCTCTTTCTCTCCCTGTCCTTGTTTAGAGATAAGACGCTGTATATTATATAACGTTTTATGCTATCGTGCATATAATGTAGGTACTTGTTGCTGTTTATGAAAGTCTGATTGATCTTGCAATCGGAGATAATATACTATATAAAAGTAACAAGGCAAGTATATTTTACACGGTCTGGCAGATGCAGTTTTTTTTTCTTTCGCGTACGTTTCACTGAGATTTATGGAAAAGAAATCATATCATAAGAAGAAATATCACATGTCGCTAAAAATAAGCGGGAAGATGCGACATGTTTGTACGTGAATATAACGTTTATAACGTGAGTACGTCGTGCGAACTTTCTTTGTGACGTTCAATAAAATAAAGAATCGACTCAACGTTTATTTTTCCTTTGTGTAAAATGTAACGATCATCCGTATATAATTTTCGTTGTACCAAAAGCGCGTTATATTTAACATAAACATGTGAAATTTAACGATTATACGAGAGAAATGATCGATATATACGCAAGCATTGCAGACAATAAGTACCTTGAATGATTGACGCAAAAACAGCTTCGACAAAAAAAAACAATTCGACAGCTGCGTTTTCCAAAGTTTCGTAAAACTTTGACGCAACAGCGTTCATGCATGTTGATTGCACTTAATATTGCAATTACAAAACGATTGCGATTTGGAGTGCCCATTGATATACGGGGTGTTGTAAAGAGGCTCTGTTACACGATACATTTAATTAACGAGAATTATTGCCTCTACTCCCGAACGTTAATAGTTTTCTAGTTTTACGGAAATAAAAAATAGAAACCCAAAAATTGATAAAACGATTGAAAAAACTTGATTTTCTAGATAATTTTGAACAAATATTGTTTTAATAAAAATTTTTTATGTTATTGATGATACAATGGATCTTTATCTTTTTTTAATTTCTCGAGATTATTTAGTGATATATAAAGAACTGATAAAATAAAGTTGAAAAAATAAAAATATATTTGGAACGTTATTAAAAATAGATTAGATACTTTCTTAACAAGGCTTTTTGTTTGAGAAAAATTCTAAATCGGTTAGGAAATGAGAGAGAGATAGCATTTGTTTGCATATTAACACGGATATATGTACTTATACGTGCCTATAAAAAGAATTCTCGGAAATAAGAAAAGGTTTCTGTTAAAACGATTCGAGATTGGGCACGTAGCTGCAATAAGCAATAGATACTCGTGCCGGATGGCCGTGAAAGATGCGGTCTTAATGAACAAAAAGAAAATATAGCTTCCAGGTGTCATGCCAGAAAAGCATACCGTAACTGACTCGATCATTTTCTAATAACGCGTATGTACTTCATATGGAACATGAGTTACTGATATGGAGGATTTAAACGGCTGTTTGTTTTCTATAAATAGTACAAGGTTACTTAAGAATAAACCGGTAAATATCGGCAGGATGAAGGGATGAACTTTGCATTTGCATTTCTATTCATTATATTTCTAGTTATTTCTAGTTATTTTTACTCAAAATATTTATATGTATATTTTTGATTGCGTGATGGCATGAACGGATGTTTACTGATTACAATGTCTTGGACTAATTTCATATCGCAAATTGACATTGAAATATATTGAAAATAAAAGACGGGTTGAGCATCGCGAAGGTTTAAATTTTAAGTTTAAAATTCAGTAAACTGCCTAGAAATTAATATTAAAACTTACGTTCCAAATATTATCTTTTGTGTACACATCTCTTCTCGTCCCAATGTACACACACATACGCAGTTCCTTTTTATTTTTATCAAAAGAAAGTACAGAAATT